CGATCCTTGGTCCCTTGCCTATGAAGCGTCACGCATACCTCGACTCCAAGCCGCCACTGCTGGACTATCGGCGACCATGTCTTTTGTGCTTTCTCCTGTTGAGCGCTCTCCAGAGACCACCTCCATAACTTTGTTCAGAGAATCGTTTGGCAGATTTCGAATGCAGATTTCGAACAGCATCAATAAACACGTCTAGCAGTGTAGGCCTCATTTCAAATGGCCACTTCGACTTGGGATCCTTCTCTTGTAAGTTCATAGCGAGCATTCAAATGTGCGAAGTGTGAAAAATGATCTCACAGTCTTCGATGACGGTTCCTGGGCTGTTTTAATTCCTTCTTCCTGCAAATGCGAATAATGTAAGAAATCTCAGAAAGTCCGTGAACATTGCTCAAGATGAACTCGAAACAGTTGGAGTAAGGTCACGATCCCCCAGGTTTGGAAGTCGGTTCATGCAAAGCTGCTACGATCTCAGCCTGTAAAAGATAAATGGGAAAGAGGGGCCTCACCTTTAAAGGATTTTAATAGGACGTGTGAAAATTTAAGTGGTTGTCTCGGAGTTTTCGTAGTTGACTCTTGCGCGACTCCTGAGGACTCACAAGTAGAGGATACTTGGTTCAGTGGCCGTTCAAGATGAGATCTACGCTGTATGCTGCCGATTTTTTTGAACTTTGCTACAAATCTGCGAGATGCCTTTCTAGTTACAGAACCGCTTTCTTTGTTTTCCGCTGCAGTGTCGAACATAAACCAATCGAGAACGTAAAACGCGGGGTAACGATGGTGCAACTGGAGGGATTGTTGGCTTATAGCCTTGACATAAAATTTCATATCCTTGATACATTTCGCTTTCCATTAAAGGTCTTCTATGCTTGTGATACTTCTCCTTGCTTCGTATTGACCAGCTCAGCCTTTCCTCGCATCCGAGGGAATGAAAAATGGTCATTCAGGAAAAATTTACAATCACTGTCCGAATAGAGGTGCTCTTTTACCCAAAACATCGGAGACGATGATACAACTTTCTCACGGCTTCGACCTTCCCGACAGAGAGCGATCGAATAACTCGTCTGTGTATAACTCTCTTTGGTAAGAACTGTTTCCACTCCTAATTGATCTATCTCCACCTCCAGTGCCGAAGAGGCGCTGTTGCTATTAAACCGACATGAAAAAGCAGCTGGAACATCAAGTAATTGACTTGTATAGACGTATGCTGATCAAACTGCTGATCAAACGACTGTCCAAGAATCCTTTCTTAAGGTTGGAGTTATGATGCGGAGGGACACGTTATCACCACTTAACTCAGAACCATGTACTCGCAAGTTGCCTTATCTGAAGCTTTTATTGCTGAACTTCAGCGCCACTCAGAAGACGCTCTCGTTTTTATTTTGAGATACCTTCCTTCAACTTTCTGATCTCCTTTAGCGCAAAGATCGATTCGCTGATCTTGAATGTAGTAGTCACAATCGGCTAAGGCATCATAAAATGTCAAGAATAGGGTGGATGAATACACTTTTATGGAAGGGTATAGAAAATAGTACTCAATTACCTTACGATTTTTTTCGCAGGAAGGTGTACAAGTTAAGCAGACGCTTCACAATACCTTTTTGCTCAAAATGAGTTGACCCTTAATCGGCTGGTTGTGACAACTTGGATTTCCTTCTCCCGATTTCCTAACATGTTAGAGAAATCTCTAGGTAGTCAATATGAAAATAAAAACGTTTGCAAGCTCAAATAATACGTTCTATGAAAAAGCAAAGTGGACACATGCGCCAGGTGTCTGAAGAACCTTCATGTCTTGCCTACGATTCCAACGCACTACCAGCTGCGCCACCGTTGCACGCTAGTTGGCTGCTCGGATCGTTTATCTGCTCGGCAGACTATAGTAGTATAGCTTTGGGTAGAAACGGTTCGTAACTTTGTACCCAGCATCTTTTCACAGATTTGAAACGCAGATTTGAGATCACCGTTCGAAAACGCCGACGGGATAAATCTCATTTTGAATGGTCACCGCGACCTAGAATTTTTCCCTTGTTAGTGTACAAAACAGTTGAAGTAGAAAAGGAAACCATTGCCGGTGAAAGGATCAAACGGAAATTCGAAAATATGAAAATATTATCTCACAGGCTCCTGTGAAGGTTTGATGCCTTCGTCCTAAAAACCGGACAATGTTAGGGATGTCAGCCATGAAGTCACGTGAAGTGGCTCTGTCTGTACGACTGCCCTCACACATGTCCTACCAGCGTCATTATGAACGACCTACTTCAATGTACTTCCGAGTCACGCGTTCTTCCACAATTTCTCTCTTCACCACTGTCTTTCCTAGAGTTGTTGACTGAAAAGTAAGGCATATCAAGAGCGGTCGATACGATTTTGCATCCATTCGTGCATGCATTCATTTGGGACATTCGGAAGAGAAATAGCTTTCTTTTCGAATGAAGTTTAAGAAAGTCGTTTAATTAAACAATATGTATACACTGCATTAATTAAACATCGCAGAAGACAACAGTTATTTAATGTTCTGCCTGAGGTAACAATACTAAAGGGATTGTGAACTGAGATCTGTCCAGTTTACCCTACACGTGTATCTCTGCTTTTGAGGGGAAAATTAAAACGGAGAATGAAATTCTGAAGTTCCGGTGATGGTTCTTGGGCTCAGTGAGGAAGGCTGGAACTGAAGGGAGGCGGCCTAAAAGAAAAGTAAAAGTGTAAGCGAAATTGCGATCTTACAGATTCGGGAGTTGGCTCCTGCACAGCTGGTAAGACTTCAACCTGTAAAAGAGGTCGTTTGGGAGAGAAAAGGTTGGTCAAGCAAAGGATTTGGAGTGGAACGTGTGGAAATTCAAATCGCAGCCCTCACTTGTTTTGAAATTGGCTCTTGACGAACTGCTATGGTCTCAGTCTGCAAAGGAAGTGTATGAAAGGAGTTGTAGAAGAGGGAACTTGGTTAAAATATTTGAAGGCACAGTTCACGATAATTTTGAGGTATCCGTTTTTATTCGAA